TTAGGTACATAACCAGATATGTAGGAAACTATTCATTCAAGAGGCATTCAAGAATCACGTTCATTATGAATGGTCGAGATGACTAAAAAAAGACGAATCAACGCGGTATTGTGTAGATTGTATGTGATTGAATAACCAAACTATACATGATGCATACATACTAACCAGAATAGAGGAATGAATATTTTGCAAGAAGTATGGTTCTGCACCATAGACATAAAGATCATTTTTACCAGATGATTGTGTGTGGACAAAGGCTAAGTTTTCCGCTCCATCTGTTCTATTATATCACTTATTCATTTTGTTTGGTAAATGCTGAAAATACACACTGAAGGATGATAGAGAAATCATAGGGCGTTGTAATATGAATATTTACCTGGTATACAATGATGGTGTTATTGTGTTTTCCAAACATGCAACCGAAAAGGGCTTTCCAAACGTTGGGATATGCAGATTTTAATTTAAAGCACGCAAAGTGTCGAGTTGTTGTGCATTGAGGTAGCAACAGGTTGAAATTGTGATTCAGATTGCATGTTACTATAACAACATCATCTGAAGGCTTAGAATCTGTTGTCGGTAGCATGTCTCTAGCGTTTGTGGTCGTAACTGCGTATCAGAAACAAAAAGAACGCACTTTTCCAACCTACAGTGCAGCTAGCGCACTTTGCATTCCATATGTCGTCCGCACGACTGAATGTGTTAAATGGGGCTATTCTCAGTAGTCAGCATTACAAAAAACAACCATAGCAACATATACCTTAATAATCTAATGTAATCTCTGAAACAAATATATTTATGACATATTTACTACAGTAATTGCCCATGTCTGTGCTTTCAGATGCTGTATAGATATAGTAGCATTTTTAGCAACTGAACCTATATTTCCAAGGAAGTGTACCTTGCCGACTATGACAGATCAAAACTTGAAAAGAGACTAAGAAAATAATATTAAGGGTTCTGGACTCAAAGGCTGATTGCAAAGAGGCGGAGTACTAGATAATTCTGTGACTGTTCTTGCATTAACATTAAAGTGGCTAGTTATGTTACTACAGTATGTTATATTGGTTTGCCAAAATGGTGATATTGTGAAGTATAACCAACTTTTTCTATAAAACTATTTTGGTAGCTTATTGTCGCAAACGACTTGTTTACCACTTCCGTGTGACTGAGAATGTTCTAGAACCGTACTGTGTCTGGGTGGAATTTTTAGAAGCTGGTTGAATAGGTAATAGGACACTGTAGAAGGCAATAGAAGGTAATGGAACATTCTAGAAATTTGTAGTAAGTTCCAGACTCATTATGTATGCTGATGTAATGGTCTATTTATAGACAGTGTGGGTATATATAGGGGAGTTGTTCAGCACTGAGATCAGATCGGAGATCTCGTTGAATTGTATTGGAGTTTAAGTATCTAGTTATTGGAGTAGTGGAGTTTTACCGCGTTATTGTACTTGATGTTTGCAGAGTATAATAATACCAGTACCAGTTGAAACCTCATCTGTTGGCTCCGTGTTCGTATTTTATCATCGCCGCCAGGGAAGTCTTTTTGTTACTGTTGCCATTTTGGTATTTGAACCATCACACCTGTACTATACCAATTACGGTAATATTACGTTGCGTGCGACACTTATCATGATCATCGGAACGTTTATGCCAAGGCCATATCATTGATGCGAAGCATATACTAATGCATATATTATTACATATAGTTGTGTATGTCGCCTAATGAATGGGATAAAGGATTTCCTGGGGATTTCCGATCACTTCACTAATTTCATCATGGCGCTTATTTCTCACACTACATATAGACAGTAGCAAAATATCTGTACACAGATTTCATTTCAACTTATTAATGCCCAGCAATACTGCATTCTGAAAAGTTTAGAATGTGAATCCCAGGAACTTCCCGAATTATGGATATTGAGAAGTCAGGGAAATCGCCTTATCGTCTGTAGGGAATCCTACAATGATGAATTATTGATATGTTAGAAAAAACAACTGAATGGTTTTGAATTTCATTACTACATAAGCTTGTGCAACACTCTTTTGTCCATACCAAATGTCCTTGGTATTCATTCTAAGTCGCACAAGCTGCCGTGTTTGCTTTATTCTTGCCCATAAAATGTCTTTAAGCTTTGCATTTTCAAGACTTTCTGCATTGCAGTCTTATTCAGTATTAAAACTTATAAATACAACATCTATTGAGTTAATATTAATGACGATTTTTTTTAATTGCAGTGAATAAGATATTGAGTTTGTTCTATCTTCTAGAATGTAAATGTGGTCCAGTAAAATAATATTTGTTCTATATTCAATTGTTTATATATTTCATTAGGAAATTAGTTTTATTCCAGAGGTTGCATGAAACACTGAAAATAGTTGCGCCGCCTCATTTGATGCCTTGAGTATGGCATCATCGACATCGATAAGTCATTAATTAGTATTTTATTTATCTAAATTCCCAAAGGTCAATCAGATATAATCATATTCCCGTTTACAGCTCTTCTATTGATTACAAAATATCAGTTTCAATACCAATAAGATCACATACGTGTTTTATTACTCTCAATAATACTCCCTGAATAACCACAGAGCAAATCAGTCTCTAAATACCACTATCACATATTTTTTATAATCAAGAAATACTCAATAGGTATGTTTATTTCTATGCTTTTGAAATAAAGCAACACATTTCAAGACAAACACTTCATAATTTTTAGGACGGCTAGCAACCCAAGAGAGGTTGTTATTGATGGCACCTAGTAAATTGTCTTGACTATCAAGCCAAACAAGAGCAGAGTAAAGTGGGTTTTCAGGTATCATTGATTCAAATTCGTAAAAGAGAACAACCAATAAATATGCAATTTGTTTTTGACGGGTCGATACAAATTCGAAGAATATTAACAAGTAGTAACAATAATCAACTTTTATTGGTCAGCCTCAGACAGAACCAAAATGTGGAAGTAGTTAATTGGTAGCAAATTTGCTAATTAATATATACTGATAGCAGAGTAGTGCATTCACAAAACTACAAAAAACAGTATGCAAGTTACAAGAAATTCAAGCAAGCTAGATAGGATATCGAAAAATATGCTTACATTAGTTGATTATTATGTAAATTAGCCAATTAGTATGCACCGGTTTATAGAAAAATCTAAAATTGTATTGACTGCTAAAAGTTCGTTTTTGTTAAAGATTTTGCCTCAGTGTTGAATGAACAAATCAATTGGTTATATTTACAATGACTAAAGCGTTTTTAAATGACAGCGAGAAGACGTTATAGTCGAATTTATTATCATAAATTGTTAGATTTTTGTTTCATCTGTTTCCAGTTTGAATATCCAATAGTTAATTACAGAGAGTCCAGCTTTATTCATCAAACGGTCAGCTGAGGTAACCCTTCGCTGCCTCCTTCTCTCTGTCCACGCTTACAAAGACTTAAAAATTCTATTAAAAACTTTAAGGCGTAGTAGAGTAAACATGCGACCAGCCAATCGTTGTTAAATACAATTAGTAAACAATCTATTTATAAGTCATGTAATATATGTTTATAATATCTATCCCAAACATGCAATTTGTTGATCTTACACAATATGAATCACACCCAATACACTGTACAAATGTATGCACTTGCACATATCTTGAATATAATAGTCTCTAGTCACACATTTTATTTCACATCTTGGATTTGCGGAGAATAGAGATATCACTTGTCAAGTTGAATATAGATAATCACCAGCATGCGTCTTATTAACATCTGTATTATTAGTTTATGTTTTCATGTTATAATAAATGAAATAAATCATATTGAACAAATAAAAGTACAAAACAAATTCCACAATATATACTGAGGACAGCCCTTATCAGTTTATCAACAACTGGGTTGATAAACTTAATTTATGAAAAATAACTTCTAATTTTAATTAATAAAATAAGTAAATACTGCTAAAACTGTGAATGCCATCAAATCCATTTCTTTGTAGTAAGATGCGGCGGCGCTAATAGTGTCTGCAAACTGTATTCGAGATTCTAGGCCATTGTATAAAGGCGATAATGTCTCTATATAGTCTGCTATTACCTCTAGTTCCATGCTGCCTAAAATCACAACAAATATATTGACATGTCAATAGTTTAAATGAGCAAATATTATTCTCATATGCCGTGAACTTGAATCAAGCGGTTCTGGTGGTTACCTGAATATGGTGTATAATTCACTGTGAATTTATCTACACATCTCATATGTCATTTACTAGATGCCGTGGATCAGAGAACCATTATAATTTGAAGCCTGTTCATTATATAATATAACTGATCAATTGAGAAACGATCACAGACAATTCAGTCACACTTCTGTTCATTAGCACGAGTATAAAACAATTTCCTAAGCATCTGAACCGACCACCATCTTATGATGATAATACATATTAACGAATAGAGTGCAGAGAAAAGAGTTTGAACATTCAGTGTAATTAATTTGAAAGTGATGACAATCTTCGTCGCGTTTTTTTTTTGTTAACTTAATTCTTTAATTAATTATGATACACTTACATTTCTTTTCATATTATTGTCTTACCTGTTTCGTGCTCTATCTTATTATCTCTGATCACATCATATCCATCACCTCCGTTTGCAATAAAATTTGTTGTGATAACTGCATATTCTTTATTCAAATCTAGCGGTTCATATACGGGAACATGGTTCTCACATTCGACACATTGAACTTGGACGTCGACAACCCGATCTCCAGATGGTCTAGTGATGTCATACTCGACTCGTATCCCTATTAAGTAGCGGTATATATTTAGGCTCATTACGTTTCTGGATACGGCGAACTCCGTACGATAATATACACTACGAACAAACACATACATAACATGCTAGATAAGTGATATAACTTCAATACGTACCTGACATTTGAAGAAATTCTCCATGCGCTTGAATTGCACTATATCTATGTACAGAATGTTCTAATGCTCCAAGTAAATGTTCTCCTTTCAGCACTATTATATCAACAGTGTTACCAAACGGAAATACAGTCATTAATTCGGCCACAGTAATATCACCTGAGATATTGTAAAAAAGTACAAGAATTATATTTCGTCATTGACTGATAAAGTTTAATGATATAAATCACTAGTGTTATTTGAATTCTTGACTCTACACTAACACTAATGTTATTTTCGAGCATTTTGTCGGGATACTATCATACCGTTATTTGGGTATTCAGTTTTGAGTAGCATTAAATAACTTGTGTAATAGTTCAGTTAGGAACCAACCGATAAAACCAATGCGTCATTAGTGTTGTACTCTATATAAAGTGTAGTAGTGAGTTTCTTTGTTGTATTGTGATGTCTGAGGGGATACAGTTTGTGACAACCATGCTTTAGTATGATATTTAGTGTAATTATTTATTTATTTAATGTTCTTAACACATTTTAAACGCATTATTTGACTACTAAATGTAAATGTTCGGCGATTAAGATATAGTGATGTTGACACTTTCAATGTGTTACACGTAAAGTCCATAGAATGACAAGAAAGAAAGAAAGATATGTCGTTACTGTACATATACAACTAAGAATCTGAATAACATAGAAATAGGAAAATCTTATATGCATACCTATTTCAAGGGAAGCTCTTATTCCGCCACTATTCCAAATTGCCATGGAAACGTGGTTCCATTTGACTTCATCCGGGTACTTTATATTTTCATGTATAACAGCATCTGTTACCATATTACCCATGTTGCACTCCTCTAATCGGCACACCATTCGATCACCAATTAAATTCACGTTTGTTCGTCCTATTATGTTGTATCTGTATTCTTCCAGCGGCTGTGTCCATTTCATAATTTCACTCAATGTATCTGGGTCTAGACAACATTATAGTTTTTCCTGTTTGAGAAGTATGTCTCTTACGATAATACAATTAGTTCTGTTTTAAATAACATCATGCCTCTCATAAAAATGAAGTCGGTTCTGTTTTGTTTCTCAAGCAAATTTACGTACCCATTACTACCATTAATTTTCACAAATAATTTTGCTTAACAGAATGCTATTATAGCATTATAATTGTCAAACGGCCTTTGTGAGTTTACAAAATTCGTACACCTACCATGTACAACTTCTGAACCACACATAAAATTAATAGTTTTGAATATGACGATAAGGGGATAAAAAAAACTCAACAACAATGTTTATCCATTCAATATTCAAAACAATGCTAACCTTCTGCTGTGCTATTGTCTAATAGTATTGGGTTTCCATGCCAACCAATTAAATTGCCGTCGTCGTCAAAAGTCACTTCCAATTCTCCAAGATATTTTCCATAGGCATAGTCTTGTACAACAAGAACATCAAGATTACTATCATGAGGTGGGTGGATTAATATAGGATATTCGTCCATAGGAACCTCTGTTGATGGAGGAACCCCTGAAATGCAAACATTAATATCTCGTTAAAGATGTGTCAACCTCGTTACTAATTTAACTCAAAATGGCCGTTGAAACTTAACGATAAGTTTATGAACCCAGCCCAACTTATATTTGATCTTTGAATAAAACCTACCAGTATACAAAAACGTATTGGAGTGCCCACCAATAACAACGTCAATGCCTACAACCTTGTTAGCAATTTCGATATCAACAACAATTCCACTATGGCCTAGAGCAATGAACTTATTGATGGTTGGATCTTCATTCTTCAGTCGGTTCAACTCTTGCTGTATGGCATCGACTTCATTTAAAAACTTCAATTTACCTAGAACCAAATAATTACTTTAGATGATGGATTGGTTATTTGGTCGCCATACAAATCATGGCGTCGATATAATACGACAACATTTAAAAACAGATCCCACAGAAAAGAACATTACCCAATCAGCAAAACCTTCCTTAGTGAAAATAATGGTACATTTCAATCTCACAACATCGCTGTATGATATTACAATCATGCGGCATCCACATCTAGATGCATGATAAGTTTATAAATAAAAACTTACCAGGACTAGAAATTACCGGTGTTTCAGTTGTTGTGTACCCAATAATAGCAATTTTCTCATTCCCCCTTGTCAGTACAGTAGACTTGCTGTATTTGCCTTGTATGCTTGGTTCATCAGTATCATCGATGTTTGCACTCAATACAGGGAAGGTTACATTGTCTAGAAAAGGCGTGAGACCATCAATTCCATTGTCAAACTCGTGATTTCCAATTGCCTAAAACAGATCGATTTACACCCAGTTTTTAAACTGTGGCAATATTGTGCAATACAAGACAAGGAGACACGAGAGAAATAAGCCATCATCAAACATCTTTGCGATGGGTTTATTAACGTGCATTTTGGACAAGAACACAAGAGGTAATCGACAACATTATGAACACATTGTCTACACTGTCTCCAAGTAACGCCGTTTTTCCAACCCTTGTGTGTAAATTGAACAAACAACGTATTATATCCGCAAATAAATTTGCTGATTTTTTAATATAGAGATATAGAATGATTCTATGTTGAGACAAAACAAAATTATTGGTTTGTTAGGCAAACTCGTGCTAGTGGTTATAAGACAAATATTCCCTATGGTGATATTAAACTAATAAAGAAATTAGTCTGCATTCAAAAAAAACTTGAAAATACAAATACAATACGAATATACAATACAGATATATTCAGACATAAACAACGCCCTCTAAAGTTGCACTGGTAATTACCCATACTTATTTACCAACGCGAACTGTCATAGTCTCTACCACTGTAGTTACGTCACTGACAAACAAATGAATACGGTTTTTTTATTGAATCAACATCAACCCTGGAAGGTCATATTTCATATGTTGAGATTACAAATACTCAAATGAAATCGCATGTGATAGTATCAGTTAAGTACATTTTTACATAACATAAACAACGGTGCCGTCACTCATGTATTATATACGTTGTTTATGACAAGTCAAATAATCATAAAAAGCTGAGCTCGTCGTTCTTATTACAATTAATTCCAAACGTATAAAGTATAATGCGTGACATAATTTGATACACGTTTTATGCTATGACCCCTTACTAATAGTGGCGTGATCTTACATACGACATGCATCATGTCGCCGCGTGCAGTTTGTCTTATTTACTCTGATAACGTTATCACATGGAAGAATAGGATGTCGTCTTTCATATTTACTCATCTTTAACAGTAACTGGGTTATCGGAAAAATGACCTTAACGTAAACATGTAATTGGTGCCAATGTTTGATATCATGATATTCAACTGCCAGCAATGCTGCAGTATGAATTATATGAACTTAGGAAATGATAATTGCTGTACATTTAGCCGTGCATTGTAGGTATACCTATACGGTTTTGATTGCATGTTACGTACATCAAATTGGAATTTTCACCCCAATAATATCTATTCAACAATGTACATACCGATTATTCATCAAAGCACAATATAATGTACATGTACTACATTCCGAGATAATACAAGCACAACGAATGTCAATTTTAATGGGGATAGATATGAATGAATGTCAACACGTTCTCCTTACTGGTCAACCCATGATTGGTTATGTTGACTTTCCATTAACTTCGACGTACTTCACAATAAATGACAAGAATCGTAGTCAACTGCCCGCTGATATACATGTCACGTTTTTAAAGGACACAGATAAAAGGAACTACAGTTATCGCTCTGTTTTTTTTTACAAAAGACAACACCAGCTCCGGGCAAGTATTGACGACAGAATTTAGGTAGACAGTTTGCTAGACATACAATAACTATACTTAGTGATTGCCAACTACTGGTATATTCACCCATTATTTTGAAAATATACTATTGAAATATTGAATCGAGTTGACCAGGCTGTGTTCTAACAGTGATTACGTATAACCCCTATTCTATAGTGAAATGACCTCACATCAATTAAAACATTAATTATCACCTGACACCGACTGATTTTGTTCGTGAACGAAAAAGCGACGGGTAGGTGAATAAAGTAACGTCTACGTGTACATCGATGAAGCGCCGATATTTTATGTTGTGACCTGATATCGACCAGAACATTATGACCATTTGTTTACATATTTTTTTTAATTCATAATAGTAGTATTTAACAATAGTACCAGAATACTAGTACCAGTAAAAGTAATGGATTGACATCATTATTTATTTATATGGTTTAACTTACTATGGCTTGTATTTTTAAAAAAACTTCAGTCAAGAAAAGTGTGAATGTGGTGATTTTATTTTGTGAAATTTAGATTTCGTTGACTCTGTATTTTGAGTTAACACTTCAACATGTGTAAGCTCATTAGGGTGTAAGTAGGCGGTCTCTGTCAACATAGGGGTTACCTATATATGTGTATTCATTTAAAACATGGAATGTATAGAATGACCGCGCTGGTCTTTCGTGCAAGCTTGTGAGGTTAGACGGGAATACTAAATATATTTTTTAGTAATGAAAACTTTAGGGGTGATGTTCATATTAATTGTGTCAAGGGTCGATGTTATGGCTATAATGAGGATATCAATATGATTGACTAATGTAAATTTAGTGGGTTATCTGAGGTCGGCTCCTTACTAAAGAGCCAAGCCAAGAGGCCAAGAAAAATTACTTGAGAAAAACCCAAACAAAAAAGTTAACTAGACTTGATCAGCACCCAAAGCACACATTACAGTTAATGGTACATGGTTCCTTATTTGTGAGTATGTCTGCAACGAGCACCTCCTTATCTTGTCTGGTAATAGGATTATTTAGATCTGATTGGAGAAACTTTCAGTGAGTCACTTAAGATGGAAATTTACATTATACGAAATGTCACGATTGTTTTCCTGTTTCGAGTAATTTGATTGATTCTGGCTGGTTTTATTATGTTATACTTAGATACTCACCATAGCATCGTAGTCAAGCCAGTTCATAAAGTGTGACGTAGCCTTGCCTTTGTAAACAAAGAACCACATGGTACCTTGGTATTCATCACCAGCGTCTAATAGCAGTACATTTTCATCACGTTCTCGTATTCTTTCCACTTCAGTCATTCGACGAGACACACCGGCATAACACTCCCCGGCAGCTTTCTCAGATTCGTCACAAGACCCCGAATTGACATCGGTTTCTTCAAACCTTGCATGTACGTCATTTGTGTGAAGTAAAGTCAGTTTGTAGTCGCATAACGCATAAGGTAATATGCACAAAAAAGCTATAAACGCTGACGGACAACGGTACAACCACATATTGGTTCACAGATAACGTATTCCCACGTGTTGATTTAGGTATATACCAGGCCACTGTCGCTACCATGTGAGGTGGGTTGTACCTTGTAACTCACTAAAACAAATTTACAATCTAAATCTAAATTGTATTTATTTGAGAATACCCCATTTAACAAAGAGGGGTGCAATGATTCTGAGGGGTGAATATACGGGGAGAGCAGTATATTCGCATATCTGCCCAGTGCAATTTGTTTTACATGGTCAAACACATTCCAATTCGTTACCGAAGTATTGTTGACTTTATAATTACTTAAATCATAGTCATTCTGCTATTCTATAACTGTGACCCCCCCCCCAATTTCTCGCATATGTTAAACTAACTACACAGAACTTATGTTTCGTCGCATTGTGTATTTTATTGGCCGTTAAATGGCTAAAGGAGACAACGACCGAGAAGTACAAAGTGGTCCCTGGCTAAGTCGTAGGTGGCGGGATCCAAACAAAAACCGCGACTTATCGAGGGGTCTCGTAAAAGTGGGGTTTATGCATTGAAGATGGATAAAATGCACATGTACACACATAGGTTTATTCCTAGTACGTTTTCTTTATTGAACAACACCACAGCGTTTATTTATATACGTATAGCTGAAGATTTACAAAAAATAGTATGTATTGATTTTCAGCCCCAAGTGACAGTGATAGCCTGACTGGAACTGTTGACTGATCTACCTGTCTACTGTCTTGAGATCGGATAGTAACAGGTTTCTTTAAGGAATGTGCAGATCCAATTATACCAGCAAAGTAATGTCTGGACTTTTCCTTGGAATAGAAATCTTTTCAATTTCTTTGTGATTTGTCTTTATCTAGCCACTTACCCTTCGTAGCTCTAACACATTTGTACCCAATGTTCAATACATCGTGTACTACCACTACCATGGCAGCAATGGCTGTTCTATGCCATATATCGACGCTGGTAGTCGTATCTGAAGTTCTAAGACTCTCAATACAGACAGGTACAGCTTGGTCTTAAGCACCCGGTATTCATAAATCAGCAGTGCACATGTCAAAAGTGCAACCAGAAAAAATGTGCATAAAACCACTTACTCAATGTAGCCACTTGTGAATTTATATTCATTAAGCAATGTGTACTATGACTACTCACTGTGATTACTAAGATTATGCAACGAATGTATGACTGCATCAGTTGGGAGTGGATACATCTACATCTCGGGTTGTTCTTTCCTTTTTCTTTGTCTTGTCATCATACTTATCTATGTTTATACCTGGCAGGCCGATCACGTTCCACTCGGACACAGCTCTGTTTAGCAATGTTTTCCTGGACAATTCCTGGAGTAATGTCGCCCTCTTTTACAATAAATAACATATTTAGTTATGTCGTTTGTTGTCTATGCAGTCTTTAGTCATATGGTCTGATTAACCACATATGGAACTTGAAACATTATTGTGTGAAGCCTCTAATTTGTTTTGTTTTCCTCTCTTTTGTTTACAAAGTCAGCTACCTAGCTTAATTCCGGGTGACACGAGTCGCTCTGGTCTGGCGGGTGTATTCGCTCTACTAAACACCTCTTATGTTGAACCAACTTTGCTAACCTCATAATCATCATGCCAGTTTGAACAATCTTCGAATTACTTCCAGAGACTCACCTCTGTCATTTACAATAAATAACACATGCGCTTCTAATATAGCAAATACGGTATTGTATTTCACTTGAATTCTGAATATAACATAGTATATTACACAAGTACCTTGTAATCAGTCCATTTTCATTTAAACCACGTTTTTGCTATGGACAAAAACAATACAGAGACAATGAAATCACAAATATTTATTTTTTATTTTTAAAACATGTGGAAGTATTTTTCGTGCTGAAGTTAACAAAATCAAGTTTTGTTTTATCTATAGTGGTATTTATTTCAGAACAATTTTGTCATGTTCATTTCAGACCTGTACCTAAACAGTGATTATTAATTGGCAGTCATTTTAAATACTGCACTAATTAAAATAAAATGTTATATATTGACATTCCGCGTGCTGCATTGTTATATCTTTGCACTATTTTAAAACCATTTTTTTCTTTGTATTACAGGTGTAGTGTCCATCAAAGTGACACAAATAAAACATTTTGAGTTTGGTGTGTAAAATTTGACACAGTAGTTTGATAATTCAGTGACAATGGTTCTGCTGTAGCCGAATTCTACGTATTCTGCGATGATATAACTTGCGCATAGAGTATTGCATGTAGCTTATCCACTCTTGTCATTGACTTTCAAGTTCAAGTTCTTTTAACAGTATTATGTATGTAACTATATGGTTAAATGTAAAAACGATCTAACACAAAGATAATAAAACCGAAATTTAATAATAAAGATCAACTCAAAATATAACAACCCCAAATGTAATAACTATCAATTCTAAAGGTGATAAAAACTCTAAATGTGAGGACAACAAACAACTTTAAATGTTACAGCCCTAATGATTAGAAGATCAACATTTTGTAACCAACCCCTCAATTTAATAGGAGTAAGCCAATATATCAGATGCAGACAACGAGCAATAAATTGAAATAGTCAATTCTCTGGGACAACATTTATTTTATAGGTCTTTTGAAGTATGCTATTTAATATAAAGGGAATAGGGAGGAATTAAAAGCTGTTCATAAGCTACCCTCAACCTGAAAAAAAATGTCTTCCCCTTCTGCTAACCAAATTCATCTTTCCCCTCCCCTCATTAAAAAAACACTTTTTTGTTTACTCCCCTACCGCCAACTTGCTTTTCTTGCCCTCCTGCTGACCAAATTCATCTCTCCCCTCCCCTCATTAAAAAATGGCTTCTCTGGACTACTTGAATACATTATTCACTCAGCAGATCAGTAGGTGACTCGCATTTCAGTTATTGATAGCACACGGCTGCTCACATTTAGCAGATGTTATTTCCTCAAATGCGTTTTTTATTATACCATGCCCTAAAGGCTGTTTTGTCCACCCTGCGATATTTTTTTATATAAGTACCCTACCTACTAAAAAAAAGTTTCCCCGTCCTTGCATTTTTTTAAAAATCTGCCCTGCCCACTAGGGGGTACTGGTATTTCCCGCCCTCTACAAAAAATCCCCTGCCCTCAAAAAAAAATTCCTTGGAACAGCTTTTCCGATGAACTCCATTGATTCCACCTAATATATGTGATTCCATACAAGACTCGAGGATCACTAAAGAAACTGCGCCATGATGACCTGTCACCTGGGATATTTATTATTGTGGGTTGTGTTTGTTTTACCTAAGTGTGACCGTATATCCAGGTACCTAGAGCGTGTAAATACAATTGAAACTTAAAATAAATATATATTTTTTTTATGAAGTTGAATTTGACGAGTACACGATTGGAAACTCTCGGCGAATGCCCCTTTGTCACTGTAAGCAGACCCGGGGAGCAGACCCGCTCCCCACTACACCACAACGGCCCGTCCTACAAACCTATTTGTTATGTATTGCACCACGTGTACTCATCAGGTCAGTGGCACACGAATTCGCGGGCAACACACTTGTTATTGTTGTCGCTGCTATACGTAGAAACAACTTAACCCGACTCACAAAACGACTCGCATTGAAGCCCAACAAAATTAACTGCTCTGAACAGTTTGTTACCAGTAATTATTTTATAAATTTTGAAAACTGTAGAATATTGCCTGGCTAATAGTTTCCCATTTCTAAATTTAAAAAAAGGTTGTTGCTGTCACCGGGATATAAATTAGCATAGAATGTCACGTAAAATTGGGAGGATTCATTGACCTTTATGTTCAATGGGTGTTTTCACTACGATAGCCTCCCAACCACTGTAATACAATTTCAATATTTACCAAGACGTTTTAGTTCTTCCTATCAGAAATGCATTGTACATTTTTCAATTTAAGTAGTTTATATTCATTGCTTTATTCCACAGACAGTTTTACAATATATATTTTCTGTGATTACGATCACTTCTGTCTACAACATTAAAACATCAATTTCTAGTCCCCCACAATTCTAGAGAATTTCAATGATATTTCCACTCTTGGTCAAATGACTAACTGTTTAGTTATATATACTTCCTCGTTTTATGTACGCAGATTATTCCCATTTCAATCCCTTGTAATCACAAATTCAGCCTAACTGGAAGCAGAGGCGCTCACTACGGCAGATATATTCCAATTGTATTGAGAATTGACTGTTTTGTCATATGACTTCTTTAATATCATTCAAGCATAGTTGTATTGTCCCTTTGTAGACAAATATTCATTACATATTCCATATTCCATAAGTTGATTTTGAGTGGCAGTCTTACTGCTATTAATCCCTGAATTAATGCCTTAATATAGAACATATAATAGTTTTTTTTTAATTGTTAGTAAATGTATGACAAAATGAATACTTAATGAGAAAATATCATTCACCCCTGATATCCTTCATTTTGTGTGTGTGTAAATCGTGACGAATTAACGCATTCCCAAATAATATATCATGTTTGTACGTCACTCAGATTGCTGATGTAAATGTAACATTCTTTCATCGTACAAAACATTTTTAGTATTATGTCAAATGAATAAACTTTCAATCTTTTAAAGAATAACTCTATGTACACTATAACATAGTACACTATATTTGTTATTCAATAATGTTTTTCAAAAACGTATTGTCAGGACAGTTAAAAAAAACAAAAACTATAGTTTATTTAAAATAAAAATAAAATAAATAAAATTAACACTGTGAACGCCAAAGTCATCTTCCTTAACCATTAACAAAAATGAAATGCATTATTGTTTAAATGTTGATGTAGACCTGAACCCAATAGTGAAAAAGAGAAATCAAAGTAAAACACACAACAATTTATAAAACTTGCATCACATTTGAAAGAAATGTGGCGTTCAAAACGTAATTATCGCCATATTTAACATGTGTGAAGGAGACAAGTCATCACCAATAAAAGCTCTATGAGATAAGCTACTACATGTATGAAGCCTTCATCTTC